TTCCCTGTCTATATTTTACAAGTATAAGGTAGAAAGGACCATACGCGTGGATAAGGATTACTTAATTAAGAACACGGCATGGCGATCGCCACTGTCGCGACTGGTCCTCGAAACACGACACGTTTATACGGATAGATTACTGTCAAGCTTTCTTACAAGCTTTCTAACTATGTAAGTAAGAAGGACCATGCACATCCGGCAGCCACATTTAACGCTAACCGTGTATCGTACCGAGGAGACTCGGGCCAACAGACGCGAACAGATTCGGTGATGAATACGTATAGATCCTCCCCTCCCTCCCCCCTCTCCCCCCGCCTTTCCTCTCCTTCAATCCTTGTCAATCTACATATCAGAATTTAATTTCACCACCCGGAAAACCAACCCTTCCGAGATCTCGTCTCGACGATCCCTCAGCGAAGGGATCGAAGTCGAAAAGACTTGTTAGATCGAATGCGAGAAAAAAAGGGTCTACTTTATCCCTAAAGTATAGCCAAGGATTTAAGGAGCTAGCTTTTGAATCCTTTCGCCCTTTCCTACCCTCCGACCTTACTCTCGTGATTCTTACAACCCGGAACTAATTCCTCTTTCCCCCTTCCCCCTCATTCGTCTTCTCATCTTTTCTTCCGACGCATCCTAGGTTTAGAAGAATATATTTGTATATTGTCAGTTATCACACGCTCTCTATTACCACACACTCTAATATACTCACTACTTACAATCTATAAATCTAATAATGATTCTTATTATTATTATTAAAAAAATACTGCTATTTCATATCACACACACATACACAGACACATATATACATCTTCGTAGAACGTAAATACGCCCTGTTAATGTTGTTGGATTGATCGCGCGCCACTTGTGAAAAAAAATATAAATTTTTTCGAAGAAGAAACACTGCGTGAATGTTTTGCGTTTTATATTTCTAAGTTTCTTCTAACTTATGATCATCGCCCAGAGTCGTGTTGTAAAAAAAAGAGTAGAGCTTACTTACACGTACACACACACACACACACACACACACATGCATACTTTTACAGCTTATTATTATTACATACTTCCGCATCGTTGTTGCATCGTTGTCACTTTCGGCGCCACGCACTGATCCTCTTTCCCCCTTCCCCCTCATTCGTCTTCTCATCTTTTCTTCCGACGCATCCTAGGTTTAGAAGAATATATTTGTATATTGTCAGTTATCACACGCTCTCTATTACCACACACTCTAATATACTCACTACTTACAATCTATAAATCTAATAATGATTCTTATTATTATTATTAAAAAAATACTGCTATTTCATATCACACACACATACACAGACACATATATACATCTTCGTAGAACGTAAATACGCCCTGTTAATGTTGTTGGATTGATCGCGCGCCACTTGTGAAAAAAAATATAAATTTTTTCGAAGAAGAAACACTGCGTGAATGTTTTGCGTTTTATATTTCTAAGTTTCTTCTAACTTATGATCATCGCCCAGAGTCGTGTTGTAAAAAAAAGAGTAGAGCTTACTTACACGTACGTACACACTCACACACACACACATGCATACTTTTACAGCTTATTATTATTACATACTTCCGCATCGTTGTTGCATCGTTGTCACTTTCGGCGCTCGGTTACCACGCACTGAGAGAAAAGAAGATTTTTAATTACGCTGAAGTTGCCTTAATTAATTAAGATGACTTAAATAATTTCCCGCAATTAGTTCGAACGTGAGAGCAATTCTGCTGTAGAGGAGTGACAATCGTGCTCGTTATTAATGTCGATTGTTCTCGTATGCAAAATATTTAATATATAAACTATTAGCTGTGCCAAGTAGTTTTTTTGTAAAAAAAAAAAAAAAGAATATAACGAAAAAGAAATAAAGATTATTGCTGCAAAAAACATGAAAGTATATAATCCATCTTTCGATAAATTCACCTGTTGGAGCGATGTCGCATCGTTGCAAAGAGACGCGGAGATCACGCAAGATACCGCGATTAATCCGTAGAAGAATAGCGATTTTTGCCTTAATAATGCGCGCGCAATTTTTTTTTCAACCGCAGTTTAATCTACAAACTAATCTGTGAACTTTTGCAATTTTCTCTCAGTGAGAAGTACGCTCTTTGAGTAGAGAAATTGTAGATTTTGAAAGGTACAGGCGCCACACAGGTGTAGGAAATCATGCAAAATGTATGATAATATGCGAGCAATGGGCGAATCATCGTCGTCTCATCGTCGTTGTTTATTTATTATGATGATTAATTTCATTATTCCCATTTCTCTATCGTCCATCGTCGCATTATATATGTGTTCAACGTCTCGTTGAAGTATATTTCTCGTCGCTATTATATATAAATTTATGTTACATAACGACGGCCGTGTGATTTCTATATAAGATTATATGTATATACATATATCTTTCATCGTCGCTTTTTACTTATTTATTTTAGCGTGTACGAATGATGACATTTGTCCTCTTGTATCCATTTCTTATACATAAATCTTAAATATGATTTATTTGCTCGTCAGAACACGAGATGTGTAATTAACATCTATAATCTAAGGTGTTTGAAAAAAAGAGTATAAAGATGCACAAAGTATAATTATGAATTTTATAAGAATGACGCTTTATATAAATAAAGCTAACGAGGGACCATCAAACTTAATATATCCATGTACAAAGATAGTGCATGCGCATTAAATTTATAATCTCTTATATGATATTTGATTATTCCTATAGAAGAGCAATTAGAGAACATCAATTACATATTTGTAAACATAACATTAAACTCGGTCGCCTGATCTTTTATATTTATTTATATACATAAGATTATACACATACACACATACGCATGCATGTATACAGAGTGTCCCATATTAAATGCTGTAGTAAAATATCTGGAAAACTGAACGATATAGGAAGAATAGTCACGATGAAGACCAAGACATTGAAGATCATGTGGCGAATTTAGAATATTAAGAGCGCGAATCACGCGCAAAAGTTTCTTGATTTTTTAACATAGATGAGATGTTTAACCCATTGTTATTACACATCCTCTATTCTTATTTTATACTCCCTTTTCAAGCACCCTAGAAGCAATCTAATCTTTAAATGGTACGGTAGAGATCGATGATCAGAAAAAAATTTGACCATTAAAATATTCGACTCTGCCATGCTATTTGAGGATTTAAGTCATATACGCGATTTTTGTAATTTGTTCAACGTGTATAAGTGATCTGAATCGATCACTAAGAAATGAATGTGAAAATTGGCAAGCTCTATTTTTTTCGGGTTGCATCATTCAATAGAATAAAATGCAATAAAATAAAATGTAGAGAGATAAATGGTATATAAATGTGATATATCTTCTTTAAATACTTTTGAATTAATTTTCCATGAAAGATAACACAAGTCGCTCTTTCACGATATGTATATAAAATAACTCTATACATCTCTCCAACACGTATAAAATATTAAATGAAATACTTTATAGATTCTACTTATTTAATTAACTTACTTATTATTGCGCGCAGATATACAAAAGACGCTCGTCTAGGGCAGATTTTATTCACTTCTACCTTGATTCTTACACAATATATTGAATCAAGTATTATTTTTAGCGATCAGATGTAGAGAGCAAACGTGAAAGGAAGAAAACAGGAGAGAAAGAGAAAGCGAGAGAGAGAGAGAGAGAGAGAGAGTGAGAGAGAGAGGAGTGAAAGAGAAAAAATGATTGAAAAAAACTGAGATTGAGAGAGGGATCGCGTGTACACTGCTCGTTTAGAGATTTGAGGAAAATCCATAATTGTGCCAAATCCTTATATGTGTCCCGTACTTAAAAAGAGAAATAATTTTAAAACTCCAGCGTTATATTATATTTCAGGCAAGAGAAACGAATTTATATGGAAACTGTGAGTCACCGAATATCTTTGTGCAACTATGCGAATTTTAAGTCAATACCGTTCGGAGTTCTTTACTGATTGATCTTTTTCATTCCTGTCTATATAGACAGGGCAATGCAATTCGGAAAATCCTCCGGCGAATCGTTAAGTCAACCTTACTTCAAATCAGACTTCGCAAACCTACCCAACGAGTTACGTTTCCATCAGACTCCCCATGTCTGATGAATCAAAATTTCAATAGCTTCGCAACTTAACAATAATTCACAGCTTTCATCGAGTCATGCCTTTCCTTGCGTTATTAAAACTATCAAACATTTGATATTTGAAAAAAAAAATTTGTTCTTTACTTTTAACTTCATCTATATTTGTCACGCATATACACGATGATTTGGCGATTCAGATTTTCCTTGACATTCACGTAAGGGCAATAAAACATATTGTACATTTTGTGAGTACAGTTGTATTGAATAAGTTGCATAAAAAAGACAGATTTTTTAGATATTGCACTGTCATATTTATTATTCTATAATAACGATCGATCGGCTCGACCGGATCGACCGCGCTCTCGAAACTACAATGTATAATGTATATCCTCGCCGATGTATTTCGGGAAGTCTCCCGTTTTTCTTTTTTTATAGCATTACGCGAGTGCCGTCGATCGGGCGACATACACATACACACACACATATACATACAAATTAATATTATTAATAATAAAAAAGGCAAACGCGTGCGCGAGACACGCATTGTTCTTTTCAATAAGAGAGGAAGACATGGTTTTCAGTGTGTTTTCACTACGATTGAATAAAACTCTCTATATTATTACATATAATATTATATTAATAATACGAGATATTATTACACTGTAATGTTTGTTTTTGGTTATTAAAGTGTGTATATAGCAATATATTCTAGAAACGGTCGCTCTCGTGTGCATTTTTTCACCAAACCTAAGAATTAAGAGACTTGAACCACTATTTTATATTATACATATATATATTCGACTCTTTTTTTTTTATTTGTTTCTACAGAGTCACGGCAAGTCTAAAAACAATGTCTGCATCATCTTTAATTTTAATGTTATTTAATCCTTTTTAGGCATTTCGCATGCCTATCTCATCTCTTTCTCCTCCTCTGTATCCAGTCGTTCAGTTCTTCCAAGTTTCTTGTTACAATTCTAAATATATTTGTTATTTATTATGATTAAAATAAACTAAGAATGAGCGGTGAAGAAATAATTTGGCTGTCGGGAAGTTAAAGAAATCGTTAGTTGAAATAAGGAACGGAGATTTACGAAAAGCAAGAGAGGAGTAGAGGTGCATATCTATAATCAAATATCGCAAATTTATTTAAAACTCATTAATTTAAATTGGAAGAAATGGAATGCTTTCCAGTATGTATTATATTACACTATTTTTCTGATTTTATCACATCATTATAATTACAATTAAAGATTATGAGTTATAAAGCAGTAAAAGTTCGTTTTTGTTTTTAATTATGCAGTCTTTTTCATCCTATTACTTTTGACACACACTTTTTATATTTATAAACTTATTAATTATAGTATAATTTTAGATATCATGTAAGAACTATAGTTTCTTAGAAGGCACAATCGATAAAGATTCACAGAAAGTAATGAATCGCGAAAAGCTATTTAGAAAATAATCTATGAGAATTGCAGTAATTGTTTCAAGATAGGAAACTAAGACAGCTTTAAAGAGCGTCTCTCAATGTATATTACATGGCAGAAAATCATGGAAACAGAAAAAAGATTAATAAAAAATTTGTATTATCAATAACGATGGTTGTCAAATCGAAACATTAAGCTCATATATCAAATCTACCATGATCTAATCTGCTTAACTTATTATGTATTATATAACATTATTATGTATCTAATTTCTTCCATCGTGTCCATTACATATTCAATTGTAATAAATAAAAGTCATGTATCCAAACTTAATCTTAGCATTAACAAAACTAATTGTGATCAATATTAAACCTTACTTGGTTTGAATTTTTTTCGCACACCATCATTAAGACCTTCTCTATTTCTTGCAAGTTCTATTGCGTAAAATTGAATTCGACTTGTCAATATGCTATTTTTTTCTTTATAATCTTCTGTGCAATCTGCCCTTAATAACGTACCGAAACTATAGTCCTCTACAACATCCTTAAACTGTTCGCAAAAGGATCTCCATTCTTCCTTTTGCTGTGGAGACTTGAACTCATCTTCATCTATCTTGTCCACTTTCATGTTAGGAAAATTCTCTCTAAATGCTTTATAGATGTTTTCATCATGAGGTGTAAGCCTTAAAAGCTTTGGATCAACTGAGCACAAAATCTGAAATATAATATCTCTTTCATTTTTATTCTTAATTTATTTGAATGCTTATATGTAATATTTACATTAAAATAAACTTCTGCATGTTCCATAGCTTTCATTGCCCACATTGCTTCCACGGACGGCTACAAGAATAATATGATTAGAAAGAAGAAAACGAGTCTATTTATTTTACATAACATTAATATAAAATAAATACACAAACAACTTATTTGTAATAGTATACTATATACTACTACTAAGCTATCTGTATAGTAAATGATTAATATTATTGATAGTAAATATTATCTGTGCATTCTACTTACATCATTGTCAAATTCTTCAGCGGGTCTGGACAATATACTAGAGCCAGCAATCAGTTGATCTGCCGTCTGTAATATGTATTTATTACAATATAATTACATGTTACAATAAGTATTTTTATAGAATATTATACACAATCATGTCCAAAAGTAGATACTCTTAAATATTTTTTATTTCTTAGTGTATATATGTATGTATGTATGTGTATATATATGTAGGTCAAAATAAATAACACAATACCAGTTTCTGCTAATTGTTTATGTAGTTGTTTGAACAACGCATCAAGAATATTTCATCTGTTTAGCAATTTTAACTTGATAATCCTTACAAATGCAATAATAAAATTTGGACTTATTTAACTTACTAAGTTCAGAGCATTTTAGAGAGCTGATTTACTACAATAAACAAAACTGGAATAACAACTAGAAACAAACAGAACATGAAAAATGGAACAAAGAATAGAGACAAAATTTCTAAAAATTAAAAAACACAATTTAACACACATATGCTTTGCTAATTTAAATCTGATTACAATTGATGGTATAAAAATAATATGTTTAATAAACACAATTATTGATAAAAAAAATCTTGAGAAAGTATACATACACATGGATTTATTAACTAGTTTTCAAAACTCATTCGAATAAAAACTAATTCATCATTTTTTAGAAATATGCTAATAAACAGAGTACCTAATCATTTTGGACATAATTGTAGACACCAAATAATTTTAAATAAAAATATAACTAGAGCAAAATTACTTCAATAAATAAATATTAATAATTGTTAAGCAGATTTTGATGAAATAAGATCGTCATAAATTTTAAGCAATAATCAATTATTCAATGACTTTTACAACTATTCACGTTATAATTACCATCATAAGTACAAATGTGAACAGCTAAAGCTAGATTATCGTTAAAAAAAAATACTACATAAAAAAAATAATTTACATACCACATTTCCTATTTGCGCCATTGCGTATTCGCAAAATAATTATAATATGAGAGATGCGTATGATATTATATGCTAATATGTATTATATACTGATTCATTTATATAGTGAAGTACAAAAGATGAAACTGAAGAAACTCGTGGTAGGTGGTAGCATCAAATACCATTAAACATGTATTTGCAAAAGAGAGTCTGTTCTATTCAACGTTACGAATGTTTCCAACCGTTTGATTGACCAATCAAGACAGAAGAAGCAGATAATTCTTTGCTTCGATTGGTCAATTAAGAAATGCGGTTAGGCCGGGTCTACAATAGGTATAGTAAGCCTTTAGCTTTAGCCTTCTATTCTAATTATTCCTCCTCGAATTATAGGGGGCCTAACTAATTAGAGCGAAGTAGAAATCATACGCAAAATCGATGCGCGCTAATTCGAGCTAACTTCGAATCATTGTCAGATTGTATACATATATTTACGTTTATGATCTAACCCTAAATACGTGAGACATTAACACGTTTTCTGAGCGTGAGCGGCATGTCGAAGATAGTAGAGTCCCTGAAGAGGTTGAATGTCGAGAATGGCGTGGGATCAACCGAACAAGACAATGAGAAGATTGGTGAGAAGGGCGAGTTGACATTATTAATGGAGGAGACGGTGTCACACGATCAGAACTACATCCTCTCTGTTTGTGGAACTCAAAGGCAAATCCTACATTTCCTTAGCATTTCATGTTAAATCTGCAACAAAAAGAATATAACACTTTTACTATTATATTTTTTTTTATCTGTATGTTATCTAGCAATATATATTTCATTTTCAACAGTTTTGGTTATTTTAATATACTTGTAATTTTAATATACTTGTTTAAATGTAGTTCTATAATTTTTCCTAAAAATATCAGTAACTTGAAACACTTAGTGAACTTTGACACTTACTTAGATTTGTATTAATTTGATTTTTAATCATGAATCATTGCTTGTTACATTACAGTGAACCAGAATTTAGGATTGGTGCAGCATTATCAGATCATTCATGTGTAATATATTCTGTTGGTGAGTCCTTAAACCGAGTGATTACGCTAGAACACAATCAAGCACCTATTATGGGAGTTAAGTTCAGTCTTACTTCCAGAAATATATTATATACCGCCACTAACGATGGACAAATCACAGCGTGTGATTTGCGTGCTAAAGGAAAGGTTGTCGCAGAATTTAAAGGTAACTATTAGCTTCAACAATCATAAATTGTAATTTTTCATTGTAAAAACTTTAACTATTGTAATATTCTTATATCCTAATATATATTTTAGATAGCACAGAGGATGGCAAAACAAAACCTTTGACCAGCTTTGATATTAGCTGTGATGACAGACTCATAGCTGGTGGAACAGAACACACAGGTGGAGATGCATTTATTTTGTTTTGGGATGTGAGATATAATGGTTCTAAAATGGAAAATAAAAACAATCTCCTTGGTGGATATTGGGAATCTCATATGGATGATATCACTTGTCTGAGTTTTCATTCTGTAAAGCAGAATGTCTTGGCATCTGGTAGTACAGATGGTCTGATGAATATATTTGATCTCACGCAGCCCTCTGAGGACTTGGCCTTAACATGCTCATTGAATACTGAATCATCAGTGGTGAGAGGAATATCTTCCACATTTTATGTAAAATAGAATATAGAGAAAATTCTTCATATTAATATCGATTTTTTTTTTTTTTAGGATAGACTAGGTTGGTTAACTGATGACTCTCTGTGGTGTACAACACATACACATACATTACAACTATGGGATTGCGAAGGTGCCAGTGCATATGCAACATTTATGCGAAATCACTTGGCTGTATCACAGGTTCGTATATTTTTCATTATAATTCCTTGTATATATATATTTTACTATCTCTATAATTTTCCTTGAAGAATAATCTCAAGATGGATTTTGTTCTTTGCAGAATGATGATCCTGATAGTTGCTATTTAGTGAGATTCCATGCCACAAACGCATTTGGACAACCATTTTTGCTAGCAGGTTCTAGTACAGCTAAAGGGTATTTATAGTTTATTGATAATTTATCATAGTATGCTTATGAAGAATATATATATAT